TATGTGGACGTGTCCTAAAATCTAGTCTAATCTGATGATAAATTGATAAATCATCCTGAATATTGTCACAAGAGAAAAGATACTGTAGGAGATAAGTTACAGTCTTTTCTCTATTTGTAGTATAGGATCCATCTTGATATTTCTAAGAGGCGATCTTAAGGCTGGTTTATATTTATTAGCTGTGATATGATAAGGAATACCAAAAGGTTAGTTAATATTCAGTATCACATAATTGCTCCCATGTGCATTTCTAGATCATGTTGATATCTCCTTTATATTCAGCCAGTTTCTTTTTGTGTTGAATCTTCAGCATATTTCTGTGGATTTGGTTATGAATACATCTCTATAATTTTCTTCTGTAGAGTCGAGCTTAACTCCATAATACACCTAATTTTTCAGAACACCAATACCCTTGTCTCCCGAAACAATATTTTGTTTTACATGGTTCTTCCTTTTATTTTTCTTGCTAATATTCACTACTGAATTTGTAAGATCTTTAATATAAAGGTGTAAATCAGATGTATTTTCCAAATTTTGTTCAGAGTCTTGCCTATTAAAACAATGCAATTATGTGTAGAAATCTAACTAATTCAAAGAGAGAAGACTTGTGACTAATGATCAATATAGCGATCAATTAATATATCTCAATATATTGATGATCACTACGTGAGATATCTGTGGAGTCAGACCAATTTGAACCAAATGAAGATTTCACAATGGTCAGATTTATCCAACTTTCGCCTCTGGCACCGGAAAACATAGCTGGGATGTCAGGACTATAAATTACATTCAAGTTATTCATCGAACAGAATTCAATAATGGCCTCACCTCTTGGGTCTGCTGAGTGCTCTGGAATGGTGTGAAATAAATACTTAAAAAGATTTTGAAAATCTGATAGTTTTTTAAACTGGAATTTATTGTAGTTCGTATCAGAAGGTTTTAATTTTTATTTATCTATTTTATTTACTCATGCTGTTACCTTAGCTGATGTGAATTTAGAAGCACTTGCTAAGAATTACTAAACATATGCTTTTCTAATAATAGTTTCTTTGAAATAAAACTGCTTGAAAGCACATAATTTCAGTCTAAATTTCAGACATAAATATTTTGCCGCAATGCATAGTTACTAGTATTTTCCATAGCTTTTTGTTGAACTACAATTGTATTTCTCTCCTTTGCATAGAATATCCAAGAGATGCTAACATACTTTTTTTTTGTTTTTGTGTAAAATTCACTATTATTAATGCAGGGTTCGTATGGTCCTTAAGAGTCCTTAAATTTTTTTGAAATCAATTTTTAGTCCTTAAAAGTCCTTAATTTTGGCCAAAATCAGTAGAAGGTCCTTAATTTTAATCATATGAAATTTCTCTCTGTTTTTACGACTGCCATTTTGAGTGTGAATTAGCATTTTGGAAGAATATTTTTGGCGATTCACTGACGTATATGGTTATTTTTTGAATGGGTTCATGGGTTATAATTTGTTTCTATTTCTAATATAAATGATGGGATACTCGAGTTTCAAAGCAAGAAGTGAAACATAAGCATTTTGAAATTCATCTTTTCTAATAAAGAACTGTTAAGCAACTTTTTGCATATGGGATTGTGAATTCTTTTATTAAACAGTTCTAAATTTGACGACTTGCCAACATTTTGGCGATTTTAAGATTAGTTTCTATAGAAAATTTTTTAATTCCGAGATCCGAGAATTTTCCGGCGATTTATTTAAAAAATCATAATATTGATAAATTTCATTAAAATAATGGTAATATATTAGAATTATATTAAAAAAATAACATTAAATAAAATATATTTTTTTCACTGTCATATTTTAAAGTTTCATTTTGGCAACATATTATACAATATAATAAACAAGGTATAATGCTATAAAGCATAATTTATGAAACAGCTCTTAGTAAAAGCAAAATTAGGTATGTAATTAATTAAGAATGTCTTCTTTTCAATTTTTTCATAGTAAGCGTTTTTCCCATGTAATTGTCTCAAAATTCTCAGAATATGCATCAGATTTCTCTATAAAATGAATTCTACACTTTTTCCTTCCTTTTTTTTCCAAAATATTTCTGGCTTTTTGATGTTACAGAATTGGTTAGGATAATTTTTGTTTAGTATTTTTGACATTGCAGCATAGAAAGTTTTGAAGGATTTAAAGGCAAGATTTACCCACGATTCTAGAAGATTTGAGAAATGTGTGACAAAATGAAAAATGTCTCCATGATATCAACATGTAATAGATGTATTTTACAGAAAGTTTGTGATGAATTTCTTACTTTTTGGAGAATGTCTGGAAGAATTTCATATTTCTTCTGAATGTTCCTATTACTAAAGAAATAAAATTAGCTACTTTTTCTATGCATTCTAAATGCATTTACTGTTTTCTAGAATAACATAAATCCTTAATTAAATCCAAAAATTCTAAAATTAAAAGGAAACATGTTGAAGAAAGAAATCGAATACATAAAGAAAATTATTCTTCAAAGATTTGTGCAGTTATTATTATGTAAATTATGCTATTATTTATGATTTCAGCCTTTATTATAACTTCCCATTTCTGTTTCCTTATATGTTAGAGTTACTGAGCCAGATTAAATTAAAATTAAATTGTATAATCTTTGACCACTAGTCCACATTTTTAGTTTCAATTTGACTGTTCTTGTTTAATTACGTCACCGTGAGCTGTAACTGACTTTGTTAGCATCAGAACATGCCTTTATGTTTTAAGTTCTTTCAAATAAGAGGCTTATTTAAACCTTTGTCTGATATTGTAGTTATTTTCAGAAACAGTGATAATTTTCTTCACATCTATCGAGGGGTGGTTAGGGACTATTTAACTTTTACCAGATCAAGTAAACCCTCATAGGTACATTGTGGAGAGGTTGACAAGTTAGGAGATAAAGCACGCAGAAACTAGCCAGAACACTGGTTTGCATATTGAGACAAATTTCTAATTATTGTTAGAAAAAATGCTTAAAGAGAAGGAAATCGATATAAACTAGCCAAAATGTTTGCGAAGGTTTGTAGAAACATTAGGCATTTTTGAAAGCAGGAAAGATAAAAAATTAACAATGCCTTCGCCAGGAATTGCACCACAGACCTCTAGAATACCGGCCCAGTGTGCAAACCACTAAACCACGAAGGCTTGCTGAGAAGGTGGAAGAAATACTTTATATACTCCCCCTTTTAAAGGGCAACGAGTTTTTAGGGGACCCAATTGCCAAATCCTGGGTGTGGAGAACCATCATCCAACACCCTTTTATAGTTTGGCACCACTGTAGAGACATTAGGTATTTGTGGAAGCAGGAAAGATGAAAAATTAACGCCTTCACCCGGAACCGAACTGCGGACCTCTGGAATACCACCTCAATGTGCAAACCATTACACCACAAAGGCTCGCCGAGAAAGTGGGAGAAATACCTTATAGGCTTCAAATTAAAATACGGTTGAATATTTTGTTGAGCATTGTTGTTACAAAATATAAATGTTTTGTAGCTTTTAATGTGTAATTATCCTAATATCATTTAAGAATCAATGTCATAAATTACATGTATTTTAAACTGCAAAATTTTATTAGATTATTGATTTTAATAGGTCTTTTTTAACAAATATTGTTAACAAATAAGTGAAATTTAATAGTGGCCCATCTAAATCCATACTGACTAAGGTTATCTAACTTACCTAATTCAATTATTTATAACTAACTGGTTACCCTTAAAAATTATCTCTGCATATTAAAGGAAGTTATTGCCTTTACATTAATTCTTACTGATCACAAGTCTGATCACTGGTCACAAGATAAAAACACAAAAATGTAAAAATTCTTGCAGTAAACTTATTCTTTGCATCTAGTGAGGCACTTAAAATAATACAAAACAACTTTATCACCCTCTGGTGCTTTAAGTAGCTTATTGGAACCTTAAAGTATATTAACTGGGTTACAACCTCTGGAACTCTACACAAAGCTACGACACTTAACTGCATCAAACAGAGCCTGAACTAACTTTCAACACTTTCCAACTGTGCATACATCAGGCCTTTCAGGTTTGTTCCAATCAGCAGGTCTCTCTCTAGAAGCAGCTGAGGGACAACATTCAGTCTTTTGTTATGAATCATGCTGATTATGATCTTACTTCTCTTTTTAACCTATGCCGTTTGACATAAAATCAAATTCTTTGATAAAATCTCCCTACTATTTACTAAACCTCCAAACTGACCAAGTATGTGACAAAATGAGACATAAAAAAAATCAGCATAAAGCTAACTGTTAGTAAAATGTAAATGTCACTTATCTTCTTTCAAATATGTCCAACTATTATAAGTGTAAAATATTTAATGGCACTTGATAAACAGCATGAAGTTTATTTTATTCTCAAACTTATTAATAATTATGTTATTTAATTCATGTTTAGTAATAATGCATACTACTTAGGGATCTATTTTATTTTTAGGATGGTATTCCAGAAGTGAAATTCAGGCATAGAATAATATTTTTAATTGAATTTATTCAGTTCCCATTTGCTCATAGGTCCTTAATTTTTTTCATTAATGGTCCTTAAAAGTACTTACTGCAGAAATATGTACGAACCCTGTAATGACATTAGCTTATGTCCGTAAGGCTAGTTTAGTAAGTTTTCCAAGTATTCGGATGCTTACTTTCAATTAGTGAATGCAAGTGCTTTAATACACAATCTTCATTGAATAAATATTAGGAGCATATTTATGATTAATGATGCATAATTGTGAATTTTTATTTCCTTTTGAGATTGGAATACAGATCCTCGTCTTCAGTATCAAAATATTTAGTAGTGTTTAATGTAACTGTTTTAAAATAATAATTTGTAATGAAAACTTGCAAGATGCTGATTTTGTGTAATTATACAGTTTGAAAAATACATATTTTTCTCTTCAAGTTGAATGAATCATACGTTTGTTTTTTTGTCTGTAAACATTTTTCACTAAGTTTAAAAGCAGTGTGTTATCTCTTGTAGGAAGTTTGGATTGTACTGCACTTTTAATTAAAGCTGGAGCCCGACTGAATGCCAATGACTGCCATTTTGGCACTCCTCTTCATGCTGCTACAATTATGAATCATCCAGCATGTGTGAAACTACTTTTGCAAGCAGGTTATTTGATTATGTTTAAAATATTAAATTATATTTTATGAAGTGTAATTTTTGAGTTGCATAAATTTAATTCTTTTAATTCAAATTTTTATTATATTATTTTATTCACAATTCTATAATTCTTAAATATTATTTACTGTTATTAACACAAATAGGCTATTAGTCTCAAAATGGGATTTTGCATTGTTCACTGTAAACAGCTATATCACTTTTCAAATTGTCGCCAAATATTATCATCACGTATTTTTAAACAGGGTTGCCACGCTACCTGGAAAACCGGGAAAAGTCAGGGAATTCGAAAATTGACCAAAAAATTCAGGGAAAAGTCAGGGAATTTACGTATTTTTGTCAAAATCTGGAAAAGTCAGGGAAGTTCATACAATGATTCCGCCAAAAAAAGCGATTTTTGCGCCGACGTCGGAAGAGAGAACTTTTTTGGCGAATTGCCTATCACGTGAGTGTCTGCTGGCATTGAGCCAATTTTCCCAGCTCCAATTTGATTGCCTTTTTAGAAAGGCAAAGCAAGTTTCCCGCAACTTTTGGTTTCCAGTATCCTCGAGAATCGCATGTGCAGTGCATGAACTAAAGAAAGTACCTGTTCTCGTATAAAACAAAATGGGTTTAATCTTAGTATACGGTACCATGGAGGTTAGAATCAAAGAATATGTATTGTAAAGAAGGAAAACCTCTGCAACAGACGTGGCTCCGTTCCATCATAGAAGGAAACAGCTGTGCATGCGTGATATATCTGCCGCCAAAGCTGGAAACCGGTGTCGAAGTTCGAAGGTCACGTTATCAAGAGTTCATTAAATGAATATCCTTAAAATTTCTTTAACCACTTGCGCTAAAAGACGTGCCCGCACGTCGAGATGTTTTTGTTTCAAACTGCGAGCGACGTGAACACCACGTCGATAAGCATTTATCGCAAAAATGAAAATAACATGGTGCACACGTCGCCTAACAACGAGATTGTTTATTTCTCGAGTTACAGCTCTGGATTGCACTCGCAGATGCGGAGAGGCGTAAATGAGACACGTTACCACTTGCTATATTGTAGCGCACGGCACCGCAACCGTGAAGTTTAGTCTTAGCGCAAGTAGTTAAACTCTAAATTAAAAGAAAATATTTTTTGGCCCAAGTAAATTAATTCATGGGTTACTAATTTTCAGGGGGGGGGAACTACGAAAATCCGTTTTTAAAATTATTGCGAAAAATCCAAGAAGAAACGTCCTTTGATAAAACGTTTCTTCCTGGATTTTTCGCAATAATTTAAAATCTGAAACATTTCAGATTTTCTTTCTTTTTGTTCAAAGAACGTTTCTTCTTAACACGTTTCCTCAATTTCCTATACACATCGCGGAGAAGGAAATTCTGGCCTCCAGGTTTCGTCCGCCAAATTCCCTTGGCAAATTTTCCCTCCGCATTCTAGCGGCGTAATAGGCATTTTACTTGTATGGAACCTTTTCCTTCTTTACATTAGACATTCTTTGAATTAGAGATAACTTTGCCATATACGTTCTTTTGGTTAACCTCCAGGTACGGTACACATGTAAGATTTGGTGTCATTATGAATGAGCAGGTAAACGGGTCATTTTGGTGTTGGCCGACAATTTTCAAAATCGTGCCAAAGCCTTACCGTACACTAGAATTTTACCGCAAAATCTTTTTAAACTTTCTTTTTAGTAAATACCTTGACATTTTGAGTAAAATAAAAATAGTAATCAGTCATCTAGGCCTAACCATGTTAATATAACTATATTCGCTAAAATATCGTTGATTATTCTAATACAATTTTTAAGTAATTATCTTTATTTTATGTTATTCGTATCATTTAATGATTTCTTCTTCCCTCTAAATTTATTTATTATTTGTAAATAATACTTTCTAAATTTCAGGAAATTTTCTCTGGCATAATCCTTGAAATGAATTCTAGCAGTATGATGACATACCATCACGAAATTTAATGCACAGATTTTTTTCTTATGTATGCTGCGAAATAAATATAAAATACCTCAATTTATTAAAATAGATTTCTTTCTTTCGTTTAGCTGCAGAATGTCTGCAAAAAAAAGCCTTATTTTATTCCAGATTGGGAAGATTCTAATCTCAATCGTCAATGGAGAAAACAAAAACTATTATAATATATTTGTGTTTTCAAGTGTTAAGGTGCTTTTTAAGAACATACCTCACACAAATTAAATTTACCTAAAATCTAACCTAACTATTAGCATTGCGTTGTGATTTATAAGGACCGGATTAGCCTCGTGTTGAGCTGGTGATGATCATGAGTAATAATTAAATAAAACATACATTTGTTATCCAATGTATATATCTTAAATTTTATTAAGTTTTCTTAAGTGGAAAAGTAAACAAAATTATCAAACAAAAGTATACCAAGAATAATTAAGAATAAATGTCCTCTGTGATTTATTGAATAATTAAGTGAATTTGCTACACAAATACAAGTAATACCATAATTTACCTCTTAGCGTAGCCAACGTACATTACGCGGATAGACTGGAATTTTCTTGAAACGCACCTGGAAAACCTGGAAAAGTCAGGGAATTTCATTCTCCTGTTTGAGTGGCAACCCTGTTTAAAGAAATTAAATAATGAAGAATCTGAATGCATGTATGTATGGAATGGTGAAAAAACAACGGTACTTAGCCCATCAAATTTTGAATAACATAGTCCTCCACTCAAACATGTGCACCTGGAATCTCGAATTTTGAATTTTATATTTCATCTTTTGTAAAACTTTGATGAATTTTTGATTAACAAACTCAATGATCTGAAAGCAAGCAGTAGCGACATTTCATGTAAGAAAACATTTTTCTCTCTAACTTGACATTTAGCGCATGAGACTTTATATCAGAAATTCTAAAGATGTGCTATTTTTAAATATTTTGGAATTTTGCTGTTGATCTGAAGTTTTTGTGGCTTAGGGCAAAGAACATGATAGTTAATTAATAAATTGAAAACACAAAATGCTAATAATAAAATGACCCAAAAAGTGTTTTTCAAGCTATCTTACTAAAAAAACTGATTGATATGATGAATGGAGGAAGAACTGAAAAAATAAAAAAAAAGTTATGCCAACACTTAAAATTGCATCAAGAATTCTAAACATATGATGCTATGCTGTTTTTAAAAGTTCTGAAATTTTGCTGTTGAATTGTATGCGGTGTAAAAAAAGTAAAGGTTAATAATAAAGTTAAAACAACAAAAAAAGAAATGGGTTAGCAGGAGTGAGTAAAGCAGAAGAATGGTAGACTATGAGCTCAGAAAGAGTACAAAAGAAACCTCTTTTGGGCAACTGTTAAAATCTAAATTTTTTTTTAAAACCTTATTTTTATTTTTTTAAATATGAAAATTTCATAATTTAATAGCTGATTTTTAGTCTTGAATGGTGTGTATACTAATATTATTACTAGCAATCTCTTTTCTTTGAAGATCATTGATCCAGTCTCTCTTTGCTGTATTTCCTCAAGACTATGTTTTTACAAATTTAATCTATTAAAAACTTGAAAAATCTGACATTTATATATGCTTCTGAAGTGCTGATTCTGAGGCTGGAATGAACATAAATGCCCTTTTAATATTTCCAGTTTTTCCCATGTTTTTTCTTTTTTACTCATTGTGCTTTAATCAACACATGATTATCTTTGAGAAGGTATATAATTTGTTTTTAATTATATATATTCTCAGATGGTAATTAAATGTTAGCAAAGAAGATTAAAATTTTGATTGCTATTTAAATGTAGTATTACTGTAGATAACCAGATGTCTGTGAACCTAAAGTATGCCAACACCCAGAATTCACGCAGATTCTCAGATGTTAACAGAAAAATTTGGATGACTTTGGCAACACTTAATTAGTAATAATAAGTTTCCTCATTTAATACAATTAATGTTCTAGTCACGGTCAGAATGTCGCTATGGTAAACAAATATAGTGAATTTTAAAGAGTGTATTTATTCTGTTGTGGTTTATGCGCTATCAACGAAGTAGTTTTAATTCAATACAATAAGTTTAAATGAAATGCAAGAAAAGAAAAATGCATATAATTTAATATTCCGTACAAGGAAGTCATGTGGTGTACACATCATATTTGTTTTTAGTTATGGGGATAGTAGCCAAAGTGTGTGCAAAAATCCACCATGGATAATAAATCTTGCATAGTGAGACATGCCAAATATTGTAACTCAACATGTCCTTGACTCAACATTTTGGCGAAAAGTATAGAGGGGAATTTCACACTTTGGCAGTTCCCAAGATCATAAAGAATCTGCTTTTAAATTCATTCAGAATATATATATATAATATATATATATATATATATCTAAAATGAAAGACTACATTCAAATAACTACAATTATACTTTTGAGCAGCATTGTATTTTGAATGTATTGTATTATTAAGGTTGCCATTAGTAACTGCTGCCTTTTTTTATCACAAAAATACCCAAATTTTTAACTTTTATTATGACTAGAATTAAAAATAGTATTTTTTGGTCATGTCAGAATGGCAAGTTCTAGATAAATTTATGATTTTTCTTTAAGTAATACTTAAAAAATGAACTTAGAACAAAAAACCATGTGATAATCAGGAAGCTATGACTTCAGAGGAAAGGCCTCAAATGAGAGAACATCTTGGAGATTTAAAACAAATTAATGCAAGCAAAAAAAATGCCAAAATAATTATAAGCTTTATTTTCTCTTTATGCAAAATTATATTTACTACATATTTCTCCATAAAAAGCTAGAAAGAAAGTAATTGCTTTTAATTCTGTATTTTGAGTTCATTTTTAATTTTTCTTCCTTTTTTTAAATTTAAATTTTGTGCTTTTTCATTACTGAGCTGAAAACCACACAGCTTCTTGTCCTAAGCTTTGTGGATTTTTGGTCCCTTACCGTTGTTTGTATTTGTGCATTTAGAAATGGACATATTTTGAACTGAAATGTCTCCTAGCTATGAATATTAAGTAAATTTAATTTTTCTGCATTCAATTTGCAGGTGCTTTTGTTAATGCTACTAAGATTCATGAAACTGCTTTGCATATAGCTGCAAGAGAAGACTATGTTGAAGTTGCTCGAGTCCTAATCGAATATGGTGCAAATGTATTTGCTAGCAATAACCAAAATAAATTGCCAATTGATTTGCTTCGAGAAGCTGAAGGCCAGATTTATGAATTATTAGTCTTGCATTCAGGTAAATTGAGTTTTAACTTTTGTTTTGCCTAATATTTTAGCATGTTTTAGATAAATAAATGTATGCACATGTATAACACAAATGCGTATATGTATATATATGATCTTCGGGAAAAATTTCTTGTAAAATCCATATTATCATATTCATGATCGACAGATTTTTGTATGTTTCTAATATAGAGTACTGGTTAAAATAATGAAATTCTGAAGCTGGTTGGCACAAACTTGTATCGTTATGGCAAAGATGAAAATCATAAAATGTTTTGAAATATGAATGTTGTAAATATGTGCTGTTTAAAATAAAAAGGTTTTCTTAATTTGTATACTTGCTTTTAAAGTATATAATATTTTTAAAGTACACTTATTATTATTTTGCTTAGTTTATTTATCATTGTATTACATGTATTTTAGGACTACAAAGATGAAAAGTAAAATTTGCTATTTCTGTGTACTGTGTT